CCTTTATGAATTTGTTGTAAGAAATTCCTTTATATAAAATAATATTGTTGATATGATGTCCGAGCCTTTATTTGTAGTCAATTTCATGAAATTGACTAACATGTGTCCAAGTTGTGGTGTAGAGACTTGAATCCATGTACTTCTAGTAAAGATTTTATCTATTTTGATGTTTGTTATAGATAATCTTGGACAATTCAAAGGTGTATAATGTTATCATTGACTATCCAAAAGATAATGAAATAAAAAATAAGAGCTCAATAGCTGAGAATGAGAAAATAAGAGCATCAAAGAGCTGAGTTGTGGGAAATAAGTATGAGCTATTTTTGAAATAAGTAGTTTTTAGAATCTCAATAGAATAGAGAGGCTACTATCTCAGGCAGACCTTTAGGACTTGAAGAAAGGAGAAAGAGGTAAACCTTTCTCCTCTTTCTAACTGACGTTCTGTTGTTGTTAAGAAGGTGAACTTTGTTTTCAAGTTGCTGAAATAAGAAGATTTGAGAAAAGTATCCTTCTCGATTTATCTCCATTTTGACTTCCACTGTACTTGGCGTGGATATAAGAGTCTTATCCCCAAAACACAAAAATATTTATCACCTATTTGTTTCTTTCTTGAGAGTTGGTTTGAATCAATCTATTATTGATTGATATTTGTAACATTACGTTGTTGATTACTTTGAAAATACTTCCTGTTATAAGGAATGTTAAAATGTATTAATTTGTTGCGTTTGTGATACTTGTTATATCTATAATTTTTTAAGCAACCACACATTTGATATCCAAGATATTATTACTAATTTTCGTAGTTGTTAATACTTCGCTTTATTTTAGAGCCCTATTTGTTACAACATGATGATTTAGTTCTAAGCCCCTGGTACACTAATAATACTCTAGCGGGCTCCATTGCTTCTCCACCATGGAAGTTGACAACGTCCGCCATTGTAGATCGAACGAGCAAAACTGGGATGCCTCCACCAAGAAACTTGGCTGTACAACCCCCACCCCCCCCTCCACAGTACACTGTAGCCAATTCCAGGTAACACGTCCCGCCCTCCTTTTGGCCCTTCTTCAACCCCAGTTTAAGATCTCCGACTACCGTCTGCTCCTGGGTGTAATTCCTCATCGAGGATCCTCCGAATACAATTGATTCTTCGAAATTTGGTTCTCTCCCCACTCAACGTGTTCGAAACATGCGTCAACACAGCAGGGCGGCAGACTCATCCTGCAGAGGATTAAAGCGGTGGCTGCGCCGGCTGGCGTGTTACTCTCCGTTTCCCCTCCTCGGACCGGAGAAGTCCTCCGCATTAAGGCCGGAGAGGCGTGGCTGACTCCGCTACCGGCGCTTAATTGCTCTCCACGTGGGAGAGGGGAAGGGAGGAACCCATCTCCCTCGACCATCGTCGGAAGCCGCCCAAGGAGTCTGAAGCTTGAGGGTACGGGTTTTCAGGTAATGCCCATTCGATTTATTGCGCGCACAAGTACCGGAATTTATTAAACCTTTGACCTCTCTCTGTAGGAAGGTACCTCCCTCTCCAGCCTTTCCTCCTCTCCCCTGTGGGTGACGCCGTAGGCGGCTCTTCCAACTTGTTCTTGTCATCGATGTTGAACTGGCCGGGGCCCGCGTGAGCCCTGCTCACTTTGGCCCGTAGAAGAGCATGGAGATATAGTCAATAAAAATGAACAGACACGGCAAAGAAGAAGACTCGCGGTATGCGAGGAGGATCACGCCGAGCTTTGCAACGGATTTATGTAGGAGGGACAAGTCAACGTTTCTTCTGTACAGACTTGAATTTGAGGCTCCAGCCCGGAGAAATGACGCAGGGCCAGACCACATTTTATTATATCCTTGTCCCTCGAGACCTCCCCCCAGCAAGAGCCTCCTTGCTCATCCGATCGGCGGTAGAACCCGCCGCCCTGCTAAAAACACTTCGGCCTCACCATCCACACGCAGACCTTGCCTTGGCGTTTCCATTTCAGACACTCTTGCCTCTCTCTCTCTCCCCCTCTCCTTCATACAAAGTTCGATTCGTATGTAGCACCGGATCCCTACTTGACCTTCTTCCTCATCCTCCGTTCCCGGTTAGGAAACAAAGTCGGCTGCTTTTTAAGAATGCCCATCTCCAAATTTCTTTCCTTCCTTTTTCTATAGTGCGACTCGTCAGAGAAATGGGAGCACTTCCGTTTCTCCGCCCTTGCTTCGCGTATGCCAATCGGGAAAGACCACATGAGGCAGGGGTGCCGGGCGTTCAATACTCCTGTCGACATGTAGACCTCCTGCCTTTGGCGTTACGATCTGATACGCACTAATCTCACATAAGTTGGAGAGGTGGTAAGTCCCTGCCTCTCGAATAATCAAGTCTCTCTCTCTCTCTCTCTCTCGCCGACGGTGCCAAGGCTTCTTTACTATGTTACCAAGTATGATGAGTAGGAGACCTGAAGGTACTGATCCAACCATTTTTATCTTCCAGCAGCACCAGATTGCTCGCCTCCTTCCTCACGCCCACTATAGACCGGGGCTCTTTAAATGTCGAAATGAAATAACGTCGGGGTCCCGCCCAGTCTCGTCCTCCCCCCTCCCCCCGTGCTCTCGTGCCCACAATAATAGCCATGAAGGACGAGGGGGGCATCACCTCGACAGCACCTCCATCTCCGGTCTATTCGCTCTCCACCCGCCAGGCTGCTTCGGAAGGAGACATGCAGGCTCTCCTTTCCGGGAAGGGGGGGGAATGAAGGAGACGGCGTAAGGTTGATCCTTGCGATACTGTTGGAAATGGAGGGATCTCCATTTCTCTCGTGGAGACGACTGCGTTAGGGTTAGAAGCAGAGAAGGCAATCCCATTTTCATGGAGCTCGGGCAAGAGAGGAGGCAAATGAGCTGCCCGTCCCCATCGAGCGAGTAGTTGGCTCAGACGAAGTCGCAGATTAGTCATTAAGAGACCGCGAAGCGGGGTCTTTTTCACTCATAGCCTCGTTTTTGTTCTCAGACAGCTGATTCGTAGACTCGTTCTTACTCTCCCGCCGCCCTACGAGGGGGACGGAGACCCTGGAGAGATAGGCTCACTGGATTCGTCTGTCTCTCCGATTGACCTATCCAATCCGGGCCACGTTTGTTTTACAGCGCGAGCAATTGTCGGTTGGATATCCTGAATCTCTCGGGTTATGGCGGAAGGAGGACAACGGAGACATCCCACACGACAGTGTTGGGATTTTAATGCGTGTATGCCTGCCGGAGACTGCGACGCTCTCTTCTGGTAGTGCCGGCCAGGCGTACAACGTCACAGCAGCTTCGTGGTCTCTCGAGTTGCGCCACGGCCATGAAGTCCTGCGGCGGCCGGCGGCACGTAAACCACTCTATCCCCACCCACCCTTTATGCTCCCTTTTCGATAAGCACCGAGGGGCGACCCCCCAGCTCCAAGACAATTGATCATGGGCCATACCATCGTCATCGTCGACAAATTAAAGAAAATCAAGTTGACTCGTACTAGCTGTCAAATTAGCGCGTGTCGTGGGGCGAAGGTGCTGCCCCAAACTTCAAGTCGCCTCGACCCTACGGTTTACAATTGACTCGGAGGTCAACGTTCATGTGCGTCGAGCAATCAAGTACTGGAAGAGGTCAAGCTTCCCTTTGAATTTCCCGGCACCTCACCAATCCGTGAACGATGCCCACCTGGTAAGCGGCAACCCACGAAGTTGACTCCGCCGGGGGAGGACCTCGGCGGTGGCCGCCTTCCGTCCGGGTGAGAGGAATCCTCCAGCCGGAGCCGGCGCAGGTATTTCCCATCCGCTACACCGCCCCGCCGCTGGAGGTATCCATTCGAATGTCTCTTACCGACGAAGTGGTGAAAAACAAGGGTGCCCCCCGGGGCAGAGGTTGGTCCCGTCACGCCGATGCTGCGCTACGACTGTTCACTGTAGGGCGGGGGGCGTTCAAGTCGACCTGCGCAGATGAGCTGGCAGCCATTTAATACTGCGGAGCAAAGAGGGGAATTCGTCCCACGTGCGCTTCATCAATGGAGAAGTCCCGGGCTTCCTCCGGCGGCGATGGAGCGTGAAAGCTCAGGGAAAGATAATTCGAGCCCTGGGTCGAGCAGGAAACTTGGCCATGCCCGGGAGCCACAGCGGTGACCAGAGTTCCCCAGGGCGCTCGATGCGCCGCGCTGATGAAAGGGAGGTTGCTAGTTCGCCGGATGAATCGACTGCTCGATCTCAGTCGCTATTAATGCGAGTTACCGTGCAGGTGAATCGGGCGAAATCGTCGAGGGGAGTCGACGTAATATGTGCACAATGAGCTGGAAGCGCTGGGAGAGGGGGAGGACGTTTCCCCCCCGCCGGTGCCCCACCAGGGGGGCGAGGGCAAGTCCTGCCGATCCGTCGATCGATGTCCGACGGCCCATCTAGCTCTAGAGAGAGAGTGAGTGAGTGAGAGAGAGAGGGAGAGAGAGGGAGAGAGAGAGAGAGAGAGGGAGAGAGAGGGAGAGAGAGAGAGAGAGAGAGAGAGAGAGAGAGAGAGAGAGAGAGAGAGAGAGAGAGAGAGAGAGGACCATATCGTATCGCGCGGGGGATGGTCCCGACGGGGATTTATTGACCGTCGTTGCATGGGGGCCCGTCGATCGCAGGGATCAGATCGGAAATGTTTCCCCCCTTGCTACACCATCGTCAGCGCGGTCTCCATCATACCCTTCTCGACGGCCTGGCCTTGCTGGGAATGGCCTTTGGGAATTGGGGTCGTATAGTCCTCCCAGTGTCTTCTCAAAATTTATTTCCCTGGGTCCTACCATGCTTCCCACAAGCCCCCCCCCTTCCACTCTATTAATCTACTCTTCTTTCATCGGGCCTTCTCTTCCCGTAAGAAGGCACAAAACCTACACACTCACTCTATATCTCTCTCGCTGTCTGTCACCCGTCAATCCAACAGGAGATCCTCGCCTTCTTGTTCATCTTCTTCTTCTTCGTCCCCATCTTGTTCAGCATCCAATTCTCCAAACTTGGAAGCATACGGGACATGGGGCGATCCCCGTGCTGCGAAAAGATTGGCCTCAAGAAGGGGCCGTGGACTCCCGAGGAAGACCAGAAGCTCCTCGCGTACATTGAAGAACACGGCCACGGCTGCTGGCGCTCTCTGCCGTCCAAGGCTGGTACTATTCTTTCCTCTGCCAAACCCTAGGCCCCAGCAATTGTGACCTGCTTTCTAATTGCCGTGGGGGTTGCTGTGGCTGCGTGCGTGGGTGATCAACAGGACTGCAGAGGTGTGGGAAGAGCTGCAGGCTCAGGTGGACTAATTATCTCAGACCGGATATCAAGAGGGGCAAGTTCAGCGTGCAGGAGGAGCAGACCATCATTCAACTCCATGCCCTGCTGGGAAACAGGTTCTTCTACCGTTACCTTTCTTTCTTCATTCATATGTAGACACACACACACACACGATCCTCTGGCCAACGACGGCCTCAATTCTGCGGCCGCGATCATGTCGCCCTCTGTGGGTCCTTCTTCTGGTAGTATCCACCCAGTCGGAACTATCAAGCTAGTCCCACCGCTCGTTCAGATTCAATTCACCGAAAGTCGAAATGCCCATCTCGATCGGTACAGAAGAGCAGGATCTTCGATTTCTCGGCCGTCCTCCAGAAATCGTAGACAGCAAACTGATCTCTCCCCTCTGAATTTGAAGACTCGGACAAAATGTCTTCACTAATTTGGGGAAACAAAACAATTACCCTGCTATTAGCTCTACTTCCCACGATACAGTGCTCCGACGAGGCGTCAGACAGTCCCCACCGACGAGTACTGGTGGCGGTCGTAGGCGCGGCCCTGCATGCAACCCACCTTCCCCATCCTCGCCATGTTCCATTTCCCATCCCTGGAGACGAGGGGCATAGGGAAAAGCCACCGGAGGGAAAGAGGAGGAAGAGGAGAGATCCTCCCGTCCGTTTGGTTGTTCTGATCTCGTTCCTCGTTGCAGGTGGTCTGCCATCGCGTCTCATCTGCCAAAGAGGACGGACAACGAGATCAAGAACTTCTGGAACACCCACCTGAAGAAGCGTCTGGCCAAGATGGGCATCGACCCAGTGACGCACAAGCCTAGATGCGACGCCCTCTCTCCCGCCGACAGCCACGTCACCAAGGCCTCCGCCAGTCTCAGCCACATGGCGCAGTGGGAGAGCGCCCGCCTCGAGGCCGAGGCGAGACTTGTCCGTGAGGCCAAGCTCCTCTGCTTCGCCTCCTCCTCCGCCGTCTCCCTAGGCGCTTCATCGGTCTCCTCCGCCGCCGCCGCCGCCTCGCCGTTTCAGCTGCAACTGTTGGGCTCGGACTCATCATCATCACACGTCGATCTACATAATGAGTCGGCGGCGTCCTCGGCTCCGGCGCCACCGCCGTGCTTCGACGTTCTCAGAGCATGGCAGGACATCTGGAGGAGGGGGTCCACGAGGGGCCGAGGAGAGGGCCAAAGCAGCCGAGATGGTAAGATCGACCTCGAGTCACCCACCTCTACGTTGACCTTCTCGGAGGCTGTTATCCCAGAGGGGGCGATGGGTCTCGGATCCCAACACAACTCATCCTCGATCGCCTACCGATGTGGCGGAGAAGGGGACGTGGAAGAGGAGGAAGAGGTCGACTGGAAGTGCTTCCCCAAGCCAATGCAGCTCTTCTTCGGCTCGCGAGAGAGGACCACCGACGGCTTCGCGGCAGCAACCTTCCCAGTCGACTCATCGCCGCTCTTCGGAACCGACAGCGTCGCTTCGTGGCTGCACGAGTCGGTGAAGATCGGCTCGGGATCAACGGCGGCGTCTACCATCGCCCACTTCGGCGACGGCTTCACGGAGATGTTGCTCAACAACGCCGACGAGCACAGCTCGCCCGAGGACGCTGGCGGGTGCACTCACGAGCTGGCCGACGCGGGAAAGCCAAACAGCGAGAACGAGGAGAGCAGGAGCTACTGGAACGGCATATTCAACCTTGTCACGTCGTCGTCCGCTTCGAACTCGTCCGACTGCGTCTTAGTATAGGACAAGGCACTGCTGTCCACCTCTCTCTGTGGTCTTAACATGTAACCAGGGAATAGCTAGCTCCTTCGACGCACCGCCGAGCCCCCCCCCCTCTGGCTATCTTCGGAGTAGACCCGGGTGGTGGGAAGTAAGCAGTAGATGATTTCCTCTTTCTCCTCGCCTGAGGATCAAACGAGATGAGAGTGCGCCCGGCAGAAGCCGGGGGGGGAGCGGCAGAGGAACCAATAAGTACTGAGGTCGAAATGTTTGCTCCCTCCCCCTAGGCCTCCTTCCATCACAGGTTTCCATTTAGACACTGTATCGACGTTAACGTATAGAAAGACTACTGATACCCCATGCGATTATGTGACAATACCCATTAGTGCCGGTGACGGCCGCATGCATGAGCTTTGATCTCATCCCTCTCGCTCTTGTCTGGGATTCGAAAATGGCTATCAACATGTGTATTAGGGGATGCGGGGGGCCACCTTCTCTGTCGCCGTCGTATTCCTCTCTCTTTCC